CCTCGCCAGCCGGAATCGAACCACCGCTGCAGATTGCGGACAGCTTCACAGTGCTGAGCTTAACTGCCTGCGCCACCAGGGGAGGCCCCATTCAAGCAAATCTTAATCATATTTATCCTCTGCTTTAAATGACCATTGGCAGTTTGATATTTAAGCTGATTAAAGTTAATACACGTAGAACAATTCTGTAATCTATGTAATCATGTATGTGATATAGTCCCAACATAGAATAGATCTGAGTGACTAATCTTTTATAATCCTAGACTTATATGTTAATATACATTATATTTTACATTGTTTCTAACTTTTCAGGTTAAATTAAAGGAAGCCTGTTCATGAATATAAGTGAAATATTTGAAAAGATTGATTGCTTGCATATGACCACTTGCAAAATAGATGGATCCTGAATATTAGAGTTGAGGTCCTATTTCTTCCTTTGTTAGTGAATAAATGAGACTATTGACAATTTAGTTTGCTTATTTGTGCAAGCCCTGAAAAAAAAATGAGAATAATATTGTAGATTTAACAAGTGTTTATAGAATAACTGGTGGGAACTTTCTTGTCTCATCTTCTTTGATTGTATATTTTCTGATTATTTAATGTTGTGAGACATCAAACCTTAACATTTATAGCAGTCTTGTGAATATCCAAATTAAATTATGGTTTATTTTAACAAATTAATTTCAATATGAAATATTGCATTTTATTTATTTGTATTAATTTATTTACTTTTATTTGAGGCGATATATGGACGCCTTGAAGCTTCCCTGGTGGCACAAGGGGATAAATCTCAACACTATGAAGCTATCATTAGCCACTGCAACACAAGTTTGATCCCCAGCCAGAAAGCTAACCAATATGGTGCTGCAGACCTCGCCTGTCTCACCCACTGTTCTGTCAGTAATGTGTTTCAGTAGATCTGTCTGTTTTGCTCTTTACACTGTCACTGATTAATCCCCTCACCCCCTTCAACTCTAGCCTGTACCCCAGCTCTTGTATGCATAAATAAATATTTTTAAAAATGTTATATAAAAACAAAAATCATTCATTATATATTATTATAAGAGCATATGGAATATTTGCTAACATTATTTATATATTTGGAGATGTAAAGCTTTAGCAAATATCAGGATTGAAATCATTCATCAAAAAAAAAAAATAATATTAGGGCCTCCCTGGTGGCACAAGGGGTTAAGCACATCACTGTGAAGCTATCAGATGCCTCTGAAACAAGAGTGTGATCCCAGACCAGTAAGGAGCTACCCACATGGCATAGCAGACCTCTCCTGTCTCACCCGCTGCTCTCCTCAGCAGTGTATTTCGGTCAGTCTGCCTGTTCTATTCCCCATTCTGTCTCTGGTGTATCATCTCAGCCCCTGCACCTCTGGCCTGTACCCCAGTTCTTGTATGCATAAATAAATAAATCTTTTTAAAAAAATAAATCATATTGTCAACGAACAGCAGTGATAATTAGAAAACTTCAGTGTATTTTGAAACTTTGAAATAGATTGTAACAAAAATGAGAAAATAGTAAATTAGAAAATTAGAAAATATTAAATGAACAATAACTACAAAAATACATGATTATCTGTACTTGTTGACTCCCAATTCTGGCCATGAATGGTTAGCCTCATTCTTCTTAAGTGTTTCCTGATACAACTAAAATAACTTGGATTTAATTCGGCAATTATAGACAGTCCCTGAAAGGTAAAAGGATAAAGCTGATTGTTGAGGTAACTTGGGACTAGAGGAATAAACATGGGGTAAATGGTCTGTGCTTCCTAATTATCTTCTATGTAAGTGTGCTCAAGAATCTTCCAGCTCAGAATCATCAACAGTAAGACAAAAAAGTCCTTTCAAGTAAATTCTGTATCCCCACATAAGGACTGGAAATCGAGTAGGCTAACGACATAAAAACAATTTTGGTAATTTGCCTTAATCCAGTCAAACATGAATAGAACCACTGACTCCTCCACCAAGGTTGCAGCAAGACCAAGCAAGGGGCTGATTTGATTCCTCCACTTGATTTAGTCCTCGGGTCCAAGGAGAAAGCTAGTCTTCATCTATTACTCAAAGATAGCATTTCAACCCTCCCCAGGGTGAAGACAGCATTTCAACCCTCCCCAGGGTGGCATCAGTGGCATACCAGAGAGGAAGTAATCCTCTGTACCAACCCTGTGGCAATTTGGAAGAGTGACTAGTATCGGATGCAACCAGGCAGCTACACCCCCATGCCAACTGCCATGGTCCAGTAAAGAGCTGAAACTATACTCCCACTTGTCATCACCAAGGTGAAGTGAGAGGGTAGAGAATGAAATGAGAGCTTCAGCTTTCTTTTCACCCCTTTTCTCTGTCAGAAGGATTCTATACACCACCTTGAAACAACAAAGCAATGTCTACCTTCCCAGCCTCTCCACCTTCTGTTGCAGTAGGGCCAAACAGGGTACTGAGATTATACCACTTCTAAAGTTAATGAAATGATCAAATTAGTGCCTAACTTTCACTGGATTTGGTCAGCAGGACTGAGGAACATGTCCAACTTACAGCTGAAACATCTGCAATAAGAAATTAAGAGTAAGCATTCTATTACTGTTTTGGAAGTTGTCAACAAGAAACTTAGCATGCACACCCATTGAACCTTTAACTACACTTCAACCAAAGGATTTCCTGCTAAAGGTGGAAATTATGTAGATTCCAAACTCTCATAATTTAATAGCAAATAACTCCAGAATGGAGCCTCCCTGGGAGCACAGGGGTTAAAGTCTCAATGCTATCAAGCTATCTCCAGCCACTGTGACATGGGTTCAATCCCCAGCCAGGGAGCAACCCACATGGCACAGCAGACCTCTCCTGTCTCGCCCGCTGCTCCCCTCAGCAGTGTGTTTCAGTAGATTCACCTGTTCTGCTCCCCATTCTGTCTCTGGTGAATTCTCTCAACCCTGCACCTCTGGCCAAATCCCAGTTCTTGTATGCATAAATAAGTAAAATAAATCTTTAAAAAATAAGTCCAGGATGATTTTTTTTAAATCACTACTTTAAACAATGTTAATAAAACCATCATGCAAAAAGAAAAACAAAAATCAGACACTGATACTGAAATGCACATGATGTTGAAAATATCTGAATGATATTTTAAATTGGTCATAAGAAATATGCTTCAACAAACATCTACAATTTCTCTTGAAACAAATAAAAATAGAAGTTTTCAGCAAAAAAAAAATACAAGTTGTAAGGGAGTACCAAATGAACATAAAAGAACTGATAATGACATTAACAAGAAATTAAAATCATACTGAATGAGCTTGATATCAGAGTGTAGGTGACAGAAGATAGAATTACAGAACTTGAAGCTAAGGCAAGAGAATTTGACTCTTTTTTATAACAGAAAGGAAAATGATTAAAAAAAATAATCAAATCTCCAAGATCCATGGAACGATAATTAAAGAGCTAGGTTAACAGTGACGGGAGGAGTGATGAGAGAGGAGGAATATAATAAAGTATTTGAATAAATAGTGGTCAAAAATTTCTATAATTTGGACCTCGCCGGTGGCGCGGCTGCTTGAGCACAGCACTGTGAAGCTGTCTGCAGCATGGGTTCGATTCCTGGCTGGCCAGGGAGATTCTCACATGGCGAGGCAGACCTCTCCTGTCTTGCCCGGTGCTCCCCTCAGCAGTGTACTTCAGTCCCTCTGCCTGTTCTGCTCCCTGCTCTGTCTCTGGTGAATTCTCTCACTCTCCTGAGCCTCTGGCCTGTACCCCAGCTATTGTATAAATAAATAAATCTTTAAAAAATTCTAAATTTGATGAGTCATAAGCATCCAAATTTAAGAAGTTTAGTGAAAACCAGACAGAATCCGGGTCAACATATATCATAATTAAACTGATATGGTGCTTAATATGTCCATTAAAATTCAGATAATTTTAATATTATATTTAGAAAATGGGGAGGTTAATGGAATCTAAATGGTTGTAATGTTTCTAAATTTCATTCAAATGTAAATCATTTAATAACAAACAAATTGATAAGATGTGCATATTGTAGCACCTAGAGCACCTACTCAAAAAAAAAAAATAGAAATTGATGGAGTCAAAGATGTTATAATTAAACAGAACAAATTCTAAAACTTGTAGGTATACCTATAGCAGAAATGGAATGGAAATGTATAACTCTGACATATTTTTGGAAAGAAAATCTGAAAAATTAGTATTTTTTTTGAAAAATTATTATTTGAACCAGGGTCTGGAAACTATGACCTATGGGTCAAATCTAGCCTGCCACCTGTTTTCAGAAATGTGTTTTATTAGAACAGCACCAAGTCCATTCATTTATATTTGGTCTGAAAACTGCTTTCATGATACTATCACAAAGCTGTATAGTTGCAACAAAGAGGGTTGTAAAACCCAAAATACTATTTTTTTAATAGAAAAGTGTGTGTCTGAAGACTTTCCATAAAAACAAATAATCCAAGCCAAACAATTTAAGGAAGTGAAACAAGAAAGAAGTAAAAATTCACAATTTATAATAACACATATATTGAAGGGCTTCAACAAACCCAGTAAATAGTCTCTTGTATATAATAAATAAATAAAATTTGCAACTCCCTATCATAATTGACCAAGACAAAAAGAGAAAAATAAAATTCAAAGAATGAAAAGGACATCATTAGTGTTCTTATAGTTATTTAAAAAGAAGGTGAAAATATTATTAATTGCATGAAAATTTGTATTTCAATGAACTATACAATTACCCTGAGGAAAAAAATAAACAACATATTAAAACTCATACAAGAAGACATTAAATACACTGAATCCATTGCAATAAGTTAGTGCTAGAGTCAGAGCTTCATATTTTTTTACTAGATTCAAACATGTTTTGCTATATCACACTATGCTTCTGTATTTTTTTTTCTCATTATAATAAATGTGCTAGGGAAAAAAAGGGAAGTAATGTAAAAATTTGACTATAGAACTCTTTGCAATCATCAAGAGCTTAAACTCACCGACTCAAATCTGTCCCAGGCACATACTGAGAGAAGCGTGAATGCAGGAGAGGGATCAGCCTAAGGTCACACCATCGCTTTTCCCACCTCAGACCTGGTGATGTCGGCCATGAAGAACATGATAATGTGTCCTGAAAGAGTGCAGATATTCGGATTGTTATTTTTTTTTTCTTTCTGTGTATTGAGTAGCTGTGTCAAAAACCCTACATATTTTTTTCTACTTAAATAATCAAAAGACATTTATGTAATACCACAAGAAAAATAACCAATATTCATTGACAATGAAATTGTATTCTTTAACCACTCAGAATGGATTTTTACAGGAATGTAAAGAAGGACTCATTGAGACCAAGAATGACAGAGAAAATGATACAATGGGAGAAGAAAATAAAAATTGAAAGTGAGGACCTCCCCGGTGGCGCAGCGGTTGAGCCCTGGGTTGCGAAGCTGCCCGCAGCCTCTGTAGCGCCGGTTCGATCCCCGGCTGCTCCCCGGCCATCGAAGGAGGGACCCACATGGTGCGCAGACCTCTCCTGCCACCCGCTGCTCCCCTCAGCAGTGTGCTTCAGTCCTTCTGCCTGATCTGCTCCCTGCTCTGGCTCTGGTGAATTCTCTCACCCTCCCGCACTTCTGACTGTACCCAGTGCATGTATAAACAAACAAATAAATAAATAAAATAAAAATAAATAAATAAATATTTATTAAAAAAAATTGAAAGTGAGACATAATTGAATTCATTTGAGAATGGGAGAGATTGCCCAAATACAAATTCTGATATACTAGTAAATGATAAAAAAAAAAAAAAAAAAAAAAACTTGCAGTTTCCTATTCTTTTAATATTTATTTATTTATGCACATAAGTACAGGCCAGAGGTGTGGGGGTTGAGAGGCTTCAGAGACAGAGTGGGGAACAGAAAAGGCAGATCTACTGAAATACGCTGCTGAGGGGAACAGTGGGCAAGACAGGAGAGGTCTGCTGTGCCATGTGGGTAGGTCCCTGGTTGCCTGGGGATTGAACTTGTGCTGCAGAGTCTGCTGATAGCTTCACAGTGCTGTGCTTAATTAACCCCTGGTGCCACCAGGGAGGCCCTGCAGTTTTTTATAAGTATGTTTGAGTAAAACACTCATATAAACAGTTTTTGAAAATCAATAAAGTGAATATTTGGCTTTTGTTTTAATTTCATGTGTATAAAATGTATGAATTTTCTTACATTGTTTTAATACCAGGTTTTGTGAACAACTGCTGGTTTAAAATTAAAAGACTTAAATTTACTACTATTATGTATAGAGAAGACATTCCTTTGAATAAGATTCAAGTTTTTCACCCAATGATTCATGTTTTCTTTATATCAGTTTCATTGTTGAATTTTCTTCCTGGCACTAGTATATGAAATATTTCTTCCAGGCAGTAGTGTATGTTGATATTTAAGTTGACATGGGTTACAAGGGACTATAATATGAATGTGAATATATATATATATATTCACATATATATTCACACATATATGTGTATATATATATTCACATATATATTCACACATATATGTGTATATATAATATATATAGTGTGTGTATATAATAATATATACATATATATAGTGTGCATATATATAGGATACATAAGATATATACAGGTCCCTCAGATGAGGGACCTGCTGACATTAATTTATTTCTATTATAGAGAATGCATAATTTATGGGTGCATAATTAGAGGGTAATCTATGTTAGTTTAGATTTTAAAACTCGGTTAGTCTAAACATCATTAATCTTTTGCTTCAGTTTTTTTTTTTTTTTTTTCAAAATTGCTTAAGGGAAATTTTTTTCTATTATTTTTACTTACACTTGAGTGTTTCTTTTTCAATATTACCTCATTTATCAATTGTGCAAATAAAAAATCTAAATCCTTAGTTATTTAGAATAACAGGGTGGATGGGTTAAGACCATTTAATAAAATTCCCTCTTCTAGTGATTCATTGAGACACTTAATTTTTAAGACATTTACCCTTTGATACAGATAGTTGTTTACAATGTTTACCTGGAAATTATAAAAGCATAAATTTATTTTATGTTAATATTTCCCCTAGCCCTCACATCAAACATATAACTAGCCAGCATGTGATATGGTGTCATATGATGTAAAGTAAATATTGAGGGTTCAGACTTCACATCAGAGTCAGATCAACCGATTTCAAATCTCAATTTCAGAAATGAGTAGTCCTCTTGTAACAGGTGGCTGAAGCCATAGACTATTACAGGCGGTGCCCCTTGGAGGGGATGGTGGTTGCTGGTGAAAATAGCCCCAGGAAAATGCTAAAAGCGGGGTGGAGCAATTGATAATTGATAATAGTGACTGCAGCAGGGGGCTCAAGAGCAGTCTTATAAGGCAGATTTTGGCATTTGGGGTTAGCAGATTTGGGCCCCCACCATGCCAATCTTTTCCAAAGGCTGGTGTGACCTGGCAGAGAAGACTGGAGACCTAGAGCAAGGTGTCTTGCTGAGATGTGTAAGTGTGGCTGTTTGTTGGGTACTTTGGCCACTATTGTTTTGAGTGTTGCTTGTCTGGTGCTGTGCTGGGGCAATCCAGCAGCTCATGGGGACATTTCCTGTCATGTTTTGTGCTGTCTTCATGAGTCAGAGCCTGGCCTGTAATTTGGCTGCCACATGTGCACAGTGGCAGAAAGACACCATTTGAACTGCTTTTGTGCAGAACTGAGTAACATCGGACATGGCTTTGGCTAAGGTAAAGACCATTTTTGGCCACAGTAATGCTTTGCTTTATCCTGGTTTATTAAATAAATCCTTTTGTTGTCGTTTCCTGAGCCTAAGTAATCTTGCTTCTGTGTGTGTGTGGGGGGTGAAAAACTCAGACAGTGACCAGTAAACTATTAGGGCACTGTGCTTGGCCTTTTCAGTCTCCCTTTTCTCCCTTATATCGCTACAAATTAGGGCAAGTTATTTAAGCTTACTGTGTCTTATTTTGCCTATATCCAAAGATAAGGATATCACATGGATCCACTTATACAGAAAAACTTAAGCCATGTTTAGAAGCATGACAATTTTGCTTTCCTATCTTTTCCTATATTTTTCTGTTTCTTGTCAACAGATTTATCATAAAATATCATTTAATATTCATAATCAGAAATAGGAATGTTGAAAATAATATTGTCTTGCTTATTTAACAATTTTGCAATGTAGTTTAAAAAAAAATTATCGATATGTCCTTATCTGTCATTAAAAGCACAAAAATTGGGTCTCTCTCATGGTGCAGGACTCAAGTCTCAGCATTATCAAGCTATTGCCAGCCATTGTAGCACAAGTTCTGGCCAGGAAGCTAACCCACATGGCACAGTAGACCTCTCCTATTTTGCCCACTGCTCCCCTCAGCAGTGTATTTCAGTCAATCTGCTGTTCTGCTTCCCACTCTGTCTCTAGTGAATCCTCTTACCCTATGCACCTCTGGCCTATACCTCAGATCTTGTATGTTTAAATAAAGAAATCTTTACAAAAGAAAAATAGGACCTCCCTGGTAGTGCAAGGGGTTGAACACAGCACAGTGAAGCCATCCACAGCCTCTGCAGCACAAGTTCAATCCCCTGGTCCACCAGGGAGCTACCCACATGGCACAGCAGACCTGTCCTGTTTTGCCCACTGCTCCCTTCAGCAGTGTGTTTGGTCAGTCTACCTGTTCTGCTCCCCACTCTGGTCAATCCTCTCAACCCCATTACCTCTGACCTTTACCCCAGTTCTTGTGTGCATAAGTAAATAAATATTTAAAAATATAAAAATAAAATAAATTTATTACTTTGGGCCTCCCTAATGGCACAAGGGGTAAAGACACAACCTATGAAGCTGCCTACAGCCACCACAGCGTAAGTTCGATCCCTGGCCAGGGAGTAAACCATATGGTGCAGCAGACATCTCCTGACTCACCAGCTGCTCCCTCAGCAGTGCATTTCAGTCAATCTGCCTGTTCTGTTCCCAACTCTGTCTCTAGTGGATCCTCTCACCACCTGCACCTCTGGCCTGTACCCCCATCCTTGTATGCATAAATAAATAAACCTTTAAAAAATATATTGTTTCCTGCAACACATGCAAATGCCAAATTAGAGACCTGCAAATAGCCCAAGGCTAGCTGGTAAACTTGTGTGGAAAAGCACGTGTGTGCTTGAAAAGCATACACGGATCGAGGCTGCCCAGGTCCCCATGCCCGCGACCAAGGTTTGTGGGAACAGTCACTGAGGTGAATGACCCTCACTGTGTAATCCAAAACCATTCACTTGGGCATGGGAGCAGGGTGCAAAAAGCGCCATTTCTGCGGACACTGAACTGGGCTACCACCCAAGTCCTGCATCTGAGGGCTTCAGAACAGAGATCTGGGACAGGAAATTCAGGGCGGTGGATCCCCACAATGTTTGGCACAGGGCAGCACCCTGTTGAGCCATTCCATGCTGTGGAGTCAGGGCAGCACCCTGTTGAGCACGCCGTTTAGCCATTCCACGCCATCCCCACTCAGTTTCCCAGAGACTCCCGGTGAAAAAAGCACAGCACTGAAGGACACTAGGAAAGATCTCTGGTACCACCTAGTGATAAGAACAAAATCACCAACTTCCTAATCGTTGGAAGCCAGGCTTTCCAAAACCACCCTCAAGCTCTGGGAGGGTATGGGCCACACAAACAAGGGTAAGAAGGGAAACAAGGCACAGAGCAAAACCCCATTCTGGCACTGAGAGCTAAGCACAGGATTCGGGGTGTGAAACGTGCCATAACAGTGGACACTGCACAGGGTGACAGCCATCATTTTGGATCTGTGACCCTAAGATTTAGAACTAGAGTACAGAATTCAGGGTACGGGATCCACACAGCTGTGGGCACAGTACCAGGTGAACACGGGGCAGACACAGCACACAGCATGAACAATAACCCCTGTGTCGAGGTGCTCCCCTTCGTCCATCCATTAAGGAAAAGATAAAAACCTGGGATTACATCAAACTGGAAAGATTCTGCACAGCAAAAGAGACATTAACCAAAACAGAGAGACACCCCACTGATTGGGAAAAAATCTTTGCACTCCAGTCAACTAATTAGGGACTGATCACTAAGATATACAAAGAACTCACAGGACTCAACAAAA